TGGCTCGCCCTGGGCATCTCCCTCGTTGCCATAGCAAGCAGCCCGCCCTTCGGTGGGCAGAGCCTAGTTTCAGGGACTTCTGTGTCCTCATGTGCCCCTCGCCCTTCGCGTGAGGGTTCAGAGCACAGGGGTGTGCTGGGTAAACACATCTTTCCCCTCTTGAGCACCTGACGCCACGGCTGTTCCCGGAACCTCCTGCTCTCCTCGCCCTCCAGCGTCACAGGGCCGGCGGCCCCTTCATGGCGCTTTATTGATAAGAGAGTGGTAACTCAGTGTATGTAGGACCCCGGGCCAATCTGCCAGCCGCCCTCTTTAATGCAGTCGTTGTCCGATGTGGCTTGAGCGGATGTCCTGTCCTGTGTGGGGGCTTTGTCTCAGGTGAGGCACAGAGAGGTCGGGACACTTGCTGAAGGTCACACAGGAATGACCGGGTGGAGCTGGGCTTCGCGCCCTTGACCGAGGGGCTGGCTGCTGGGCTCAGGGGCAGGCCTGCTCCCGGGGGTGGGAAGGCTTCGGGTGCTTTAGCCAAGAGGGGGGGGGGCGTGTTTTTCTCCGGCTCCTGTGGTGGCAGGAGGATTTCAGGCCCTTGGGACGGGGTGGGGTCCGGGATGGCCCTGGCTGAGCCCGAGTCCTGAGGGGTTAGTGTGTGTGGCTTTTTTGTGGAATCGGCTTCTAACACAGCTGCGCCTGCGAGAGGGGGCGGCTGCAGGGGAACTCACTCAGATCTCTAATCACCTGCTGGGCTTGTCTCTGCCAGGCCCGGCCTGTAGGGGGCGTGAGTCACCGGGAACATTCACGCTGAGGGTCCTCCCGCAGATATCACAGGGCACTGCCCACGGTGGGCCCCTCCCCAGGGCAGGCCCTTGGCTCCAGGCCCTGGACCCGAGACTCCTGGCCCCATGCCACTTCCCTTCTGAGAAGTCAGGCCCACGCAGGGTCACTGTGTCCGGACAATAAAGCAGGAGCCGGTTCAGGGCAGGCCTTTGGAGGAGGGGTCTGACTTTGGAGCTAGGGTCTGCCTGACAAGCAGGGGCGGGCAGGGCACCACCTGTGGCCCAGGTGTCCTGATAGAGGGAAAGGCGTGCAGGACACCTCAGGCCGGAAGGAGTGAGCGGCCGCCACCTGTGCGCTGGAGATGGAGCCAGAGGGCTGGCCCAGCCGTCTCACCTGGGGTCCCTCCCAGCCTGGGCGGGGAGTGGGGTCTCACTTCGGGTGGAGGGAAGCCACCGAGTGCTGAGGGCTGCTCCCTGGCGATGGGGTGAGGGGGAGACGGGAGCTGGTTCCCCAGAGAAGAGGGGCCCAGAGAGCAGGGGGTGGGCCAGGAGGGTCTTGGAAGTGACGTCGGGCTTGTGATGGGTCAGGTGTCAGAGGTGAGGGACACATTTGGCTTCGACAGCGGGTCGACGGTGGTGCGGTGCCGTTCATGAGATGGGGAAACAGAGGGAGAGCAAGGTTGGCGGGAACGTCAAGGGGTCTGTCCGGCTGTGCTGTTTTGAGACGAGTGTCCGACGGGAGAGGCAACCAAGTCGGATACATGAGCCTGGCGTTCGGGGAGGAGTCCTCAGGCCAGAAGTGGGCGTTGGAGGCCGGGAGGCGCGGCTCCGTGCAGGCGCCCTGGGAGGCCTGGGGGGCTCACGGCCTCGGAGGGTCTCCACGCGGTCACAGCAGCGTCGGAGCGTCTGAGGCTGCTCCTCGCACCGTTATAACTGCACCGGTTTTCAGATAGAGACACAGGAGGAGGACGACAGCAGCGTTTTAATTTAAAACAGGTCAGGATATCGTCTGTGGGGAGAAGCGGGGGAACACGCCCAGAGATGGAGGCAAGAGCTGCTGGGGAGGTGGGGGTTTGGCTGAGAATTCCTTCGCCTGTGCCCTCCAGCCGCCGCCGCTTCCAGGTCAGTCTTGGGGAGAAGCCCCCTGAGGGGGGAGCAGGCCCCGAGGAGTGAGCGGGGTCTTCCTGCCGCCAGCGTGATGGGGCGTCAGGCACCCCAGAAAGAGCAACTAAAACTCGTGTTTGCAGCTAAACGAGGGCTTTCCGAGCGCGTTCCGGGCAGGAATTCCGCAGGAAACTCCTGCGTTGTCCCTGATGCGGGCACAGCCTCCAGACTCCGGCCTGGAGGGAGCGTCTGCTTTGTACTTTGGTTTATGCCATCGGGTGAGGGCTTGAGAGAGGGTGGGTGGCTGCCAGAGGACGGGGAGTCCCCAGGTTGGGGGGGCGCTGGGCGAAGGTGAGCTAGTGTTGCCTGACCTAAAGAGGGGGGCTCTTAGCAAAAATAACTAACCGAAGACCTGACCCTGAGGTCCTTGCAGCAACAGAACCCACGTCAGAGGTGGGTGTAGTTGCCCATCCGCAGGGTCCCGCGGCGCACGGCGTACTCTTCCTGTTGGGCTTTGAACGCTCTCTGGCGGTCGGCCTCGCTGGGGAAGGTGTCGAGCTGCGGGCCCACCTGCGGATGGAGGGGAGAGCGGGTTGGCGGGCATAGAGGCTGGGGGGCTCGCCCCGTGCTCCCCTCCCCGCTTCCCTCACCTGCCTGCCCTGGGCTTCATCTTGGAGAAATAATAGAATAGCAGAGGCAGAGGGGGGCGGGGGGA